GGAACTTTGTGTTTCTGTGCGTCCACGACTAATAATTCAGGTCTCGAATGCGTTGTTGCAGATGTATTACCCTTTCAAAATAATTAGGAACGTGTTTTTCCGGCGTTCCCCATGGTGTTTTTCACCGGGTGTAGCATCGAAGGAACCGCATACATACATGCACTTGTCCCTCCCTTATTGTAAATGTGTAACCCGACCCGAATATGCCCTTTTGATCCGACCCATCTCTCTTTGTTGCCCTTTCTCTCCAATTTAATATATAAATGAGTCACTTTTTTTTTTTTAATTTCTACCTTCAAATTTGAATTATATAATGATATGCATGGTTCATGACTAGTAATCATTAATTTACATGATTAATAATTGGACATAATATTAATCTTTAAGGCCTAAAATATATTTTTCAATTCACTTGACACACTACTTAATTAAATAATTAATATGGTAAATTACATCAACCTCCTTTGAACTTAGGTTAAATATAAATAACTACATATTAAGCACACATACACATGGGTGTGTATTATTATGTGTAGATCTAAGGTTATAAATAAAATGATGTAATTCAGCAAGTGTAGGTTCTGAAAAATCGTATAACTGGACCCCACTTAGTTAGAAAAATTACGCAATCTCCCTTCATTTTTTTTAATTTCAGTTTTACCCGTAAACCAAATATTCATAAATTACATTATTCATTTCCTGAGGTTCGGCCTAATTACATATATAGACCCTACGTATCTTGAAATATTACGAAGACCCTCTTTTAAAGACTAATTATTAACTAAAAATTGTATTTAAAATCATTAAATGTTATGTTTTGAAAAGATATAGGAGAATTAATAATATCGGAAAAATAATTTTACTCTTGTAATGTAAATAATAAAATTATTAATTTTAACTAATATTTTCCAAAAAGAAATACCGACACACAGTCTCTTCTTCTTTAAGGGGAAAAGTAAAAAAACAAAAAAAAAAAAAAAAAAAAAAGAAAAAAAAAAGAACACGTGGCTAATTAAGTTGAAAGGCTTAAATCACTTGCAGACACACACATTAAGCACGTGGACAATTATTCTTGCATGCACAGAAACATAAGGCTCCCGCACTTTTTCTGAATTGATTTGCATTCGTAACAGTGTACACGTGTGCTGAATTGATTGTGGCACACGCGCGGATTAATTACTTAATTAATATATTAATTGAAATAGAAATCCCCCATAAGAGACCTACAGAATTAAGTTGGCTGCATGAACCATGCAACGCAATCTACGAGCGAGTGATGATAAACTGTTTGGTTTGTAGGTTTGACATCTTCAAAAATAGTCAACTTGTCTGAAATTCTCACCCTTAATTAATCACTAATTTGAGATTAAATTTTGAGTGGATCAGTCAATATTTAATATAAATTGGATTTCACTAATTTTTTGATAAATGGCACTCTTAAGTCTTAACTCTTAATAAATCACTGATTAATTATAATTAGGGCGTTATTACTGGTTATGATGGAGTTTTTTTTTCTTTTTTTTTTCAATTATTAGAATCCTAAGTATATATATATATTTTTTAAATATCCACGTAGTAATCATCCTAGGCATCCGATTTTCCTATTAAAACAGATCATCCAGTCTAAATTTGCACCCTAATGATTTATATGTGACTAATAATAATTCAAATAAAATCTCACTTCATTTCATCTTTTGTGTGTGTTTTTCATGCTGGCATTTTTTCAGTCCAGTTGCAAATATATATATATATATATATATATATATATATATATATATATATATATATATATATATATATATATATATGATAAGGAACGTCAAATTGGATTCGAATTGTAAAATAACTACTTAATTCGGAGAAGAGTTATTTACAGGCACTGGTGGAAATATCGAAAGAAATTATGGAAAAATAAGGGTTTTAAACGAACTCAAATTATTTGAGTACGAAACAAACTCTATCTCAAGTGAAACGGCGCAAGGAACAAAACTCATGAGCAAAGCTCATGAATTACGTCAAATTTCAGCAATCCAAGCTCCCAAAAGTTCTTTTTGCTATTTTAAGCAAGTTTTAGAAAATTAATATCAAATCATAGAAAAATCGGATTTGGATTCCGTAAATTGGGTTGTTCCCAAAATTACGAGATCTACTATAATCAGACTCTAACTCGTTTTTGCCATTTTTGGTAATTTTTAGTATTTTCTTAGTTTAATTAGGGTTTTCAGTTTTTTAGTATAAATAGCTGCCTTGGGTTGTTCCCAAAATTACGAGATCTACTATAATCAAACTCTAATTTGTTTTTGCCATTTTTGGTAATTTTTAGTATTTTCTTAGTTTAATTAGGGTTTTCAGTTTTTTAGTATAAATAACTGCCTTAGGACTTTATTTTAAAAAGAATTTCGAATTTTAATAAAATCTTTAGTTTTCTCTATTTTCTGGTGGATTCCAGTATATAAAGGCCATTGTTCTCTAAATATTCTGCATTGTACAACACGACATCGTTACAAGTTCATTCCTCGTGTATAAGAATAAAAAAAAAAGGAAATATAAATGGACCCACAAAGATCATCAGTAGTACCACCTTTTGGTGGCGGCAACAACACGATAAGGGCGGCGATAATGGTGGTGGTGATGATCGTCTTTTCCGGTTACCTCTTCTTGTGGGTTATGATACCCACTAATCCTTACCGCCTCAATTGGCTGCCGGAGATTCGAAAACAAACCACTTCTACTTACTTCGGAACCATCCAGGGTATATATATATATATAGTTCAACTTTATATGATATTAAATTAATTTATTCGATAGTCGATATCGGATGAAATTCGCTAAGTAGTTATATAAACATCGATCTAGCGTTCATGCATGCGCACAAAAATGAAAAATATATACATAAGATATATTTTGGTGTAACAAAATCGTGTTTCGTACGTTGATGTTTTGCAGGTGCGACTTACTTGATGTTCGCGTTTCCGGTTCTACTCATTGCGGTGTTAGGGTGTGTGTATGTTCATCTAGGAAAGAAATCGATTGACAATCATACCAAAGGGTACTATTTATTTATTTTATTATTTTTTTTTATTTTTTTTTATTTTATTTTTTTTTATTTATTTTTTTAATTTTTTTTTTGTGAGAAACAGAGAGATCAATGGAAATAATAATAATCATAGGTTGGCAATATGGAAAAGGCCTATGATTATAAAAGGATTAGGGATAGTGACTCGGATTGAAATTGCATTTTTTATAATGTTTATTGCTCTTCTTATTTGGAGCTTTGCTACATACATGCGCATCAACTTTGCAACCATTACACCAAACACAGCTGCAAATAAGGGACAACTTGTGTAAGTATTTCATTCTCTTTTCTCGATATATACAGTTAAACCTTTATAAATTAATACAGCCGGGACTAGAGAAATTTTATTAATTTAGCGAATTAATAGAATTTATCGAGACGGGCCCGGAAGAAATTATTATTTAAGCGAGAAATTATTAATTTATCGAGGTTCTGCTATCTAATTAATGTATGTGTGCATATGGCGCATGCATGCAGGTGGGAAGTGAAGCTAGACAGAACCTCGGACTGGCTAGCAATAGTCGGAAACATAGCCTTTGTGTTTCTCTTCTTCCCGGTGACACGTGGCTCGTCGGTGCTGCCGCTATTTGGGCTGACATCGGAGGGTAGCGTTAAATATCACATATGGTTGGGCCATATCGTCATGACACTTTTCACCGCGCATAGCTTCGGTTACGTAATCTATTGGGCTAGTGTCCGTAAATTGCATAAATTGCTCGAATGGAAGAAAACCGGCTTTTCGGCCATCGCCGGCGAGTTATCCCTAGTGGCGGGGTTAATACTGTGGGCCACCACATTCCCGAGGATAAGGAGAAAAATGTTCGAGGTGTTCTTCTACACGCACCACATGTACATTCCGTTCGTCGTCTTCTTCATATTCCACGTGGGAATCAACTACGCGTCCATGATGATTCCCGGTTTCTTCCTCTTTGTTATCGACCGTTACCTCAGATTCTTGCAATCTAGGTCAAACGCTCGTCTCTTGTCCGCTAGGGTTCTTCCTTGTCAAGCTGTCGAGCTCAACTTCTCGAAGACCACAGGTATATATATATCATATGTAAAAGGCAGTTGACCACCAAGCTGTCGAGCTCAACTACTTCTCAACGTCTACTGATCGGCGTAGACCTTTTTTTTTTTCTTGACTATCGGTTGTTACATTGCAAAAGGCGAGAAAAGTTGGACCAGACAAAGCTATCTTAGTGTTTAGTTTATATGTAATGTTTTGTACTTATTGTAATGATTTCTTGATGTTTGTTATATTTTCTTTTGCCTAGGTTTGAGTTACGGTCCGACGAGCATTATATTCTTGAATGTCCCGACAATTTCGAAGATGCAGTGGCATCCATTCACCGTTAGCTCGAGCAGCAGTCTCGAGTCTGATACGCTAAGTGTCATAATCAAAGGAGAAGGAAAATGGTCTAATAAGCTCTACCAATTGCTCTCTTCTTCGATCGATCGTCTCAATGTTTCAATCGAAGGGCCTTACGGGCCCGCTTCAACCGACTTCCTAAGGTAGTATTCGATATTTTTAGATGAAATGATCAATCTTGAAAAATATATTATATAGAACCCCATTTTAATTTCTCGTTTTTTTTTTGGGTCGATAAGGCACGAGCTTTTGGTGATGGTGAGTGGAGGAAGCGGCGTAACCCCGTTTATATCGATCATCCGCGAGCTAATCTACACAAGCAAGAATATGAAATGCAAAACGCCCGAAATTCTACTAATCACCTCATTCAAGAACTCAAACGACTTAACCATGCTCGATTTAATCCTCCCTCTCTGCGGTGCTCCATCAGAGTTTCCAAATTTGGACTTAAAAATCGAGGCGTACGTAACAAGAGAGAAAGCGGCCCCACCTAAAGAACAAGAAAATACGAAAATCCGAACCGTGTGGCTCAAGCCCAACCCATCCGATGCACCAATATCTCCGATTTTAGGCCCAAATAGCTATTTATGGCTCGGTGCTATAATCTCATCTTCCTTTATCATTTACCTTATTTTCATCGGTATTTTGACGAGATATACTATATACCCCGTTGATCGTAACACGAACAAGATATACTCGACTTCTTCAAGAGCCTTGCTCCACATGCTATTCCTATGCATCGGCATATTTATCGCTGCAACTTCGGCTTTTTTGACGAACAAGAGTAGAAATGCAAGGGAGATAACTTCACAGATACAAAACATGGAGGGGGCCACTCCCCAAGCCTCGCCGAATTCGTCGTTTTATTATAACGCGGATAGAGAATTGGAGAGCTTGCCTCAACAGTCGATATCGCAGTTGATTAATTTGCATTATGGTGAAAGGCCGGATCTTAAGAGTAAGTTACTAAAGATCATGGAATATAATTTGCATGCATGCACTTTTTTTGAAAAAATATTTGTTTCTCATGAATTTTTTTTTTTTTGTAGAAATTTTGTTCGAGCGAAAAGAATTGAGCGTTGGGGTACTCGTTTGTGGCCCGAAGAAAATGAGACATGAGGTGGCGAATATATGCTCGTCTGGTTTGGCTGCTAATCTGCATTTCGAGTCCATTAGCTTCGGTTGGTGATTTTTTACTATAAAGATTGCGATCGAGTTCGGGATTGCTTCTTCTTCTTTTTTTTTTCTTTTTTTTTTACTTGTTTAAATTTGCTCTTCCTTTTGGTTGATTGAGCTATATATGTAAATTTAAATTGTATATTAGAAGATAAATGCTTCTCTTTCTTGTGAAAATGATATATCAACCTTTTTCTTGTTGAAATCGGGACGAAATTCTTTAAATACGAAATTCTTTAAAAATTAAAGATTAAAAATTAAAAATTAAAAATTAAAAAAAAAAAGAGAGAATTTAATCATAAAAGAAAGAGTATTAAAAGTGATGGTTTGCAGAGTTTAACTTGCAAAACAATATATAATTATTTGCTATGATATATAATATATAGTCATCATATTCACTTATACTCTGTTCCTTCTTTCTTACATAAATGTGATTTTTTAGAAGTAATTAAGTACACATCAACCTTATAATATATAGAAATATTCCTTTGAACGCATTTCGATTTACTCGACGAACGATACTCAATTTAGTCGGTACTTATATATTTATCGATAAACCGTGTTCTGAATTAAACCAAAACTCCCCTTAATATAGAAAATTAATGACTTACCACACAACTCAAATTGATTGTATGAGGTCACTAGTCCATTAAATTGTTGCAATATCCTTTTCATACATACATACATATATGATATATATATATATATATATATATATATATATATATATATATATATACACACACACACACAACCCTTTTGCATATATGTATATATATTAGTTTCTTGGTTGAAAACAAGTACCATTATTCAATGAAGAACAAAACAATGGGTTCATCCTCTAAAGTAGCAATCCCTGCAGTGAGAGGTGCAATTCTGCTGTTGGCAGTTGTGATCTTTCTTGGTAATATTATGATGTGGATTATTATGCCAACCGATACGTATTACAACGACTGGTTGCTTCATATTCTCGCTGCCACAAATTCGACTTTCTTCGGAATACAAGGTTCTAGTAATTTTTTTTTTTGCTAAATTGTTTTAATTATAATCCTTAATTAAAAATATTAACCATAATCTTTTTATATATATATATATATATATATATATATATATATATATATATATATATATATATACATATATATATATATATATATATATAGGTCCAATAATGCTGGATTTCACATTCCCAATTCTGTTCATTGCTATTCTTGGATGTCTGTATTTGCATTTGGGAAATAAATTACAACCAAATTTCACACCAAGGTATATAACATCCATAATTATTTAATTTTAATTTTTATATACTAATGATATTTTTATTTATTAATTTGGATAAAGGGACAAGAAATTGAGGTTTGCGACGAAACCGATGATAGTTAAGGGGCTCGGAATCGTTACTCTAACGGAGCTAGCTTTGCTCACTTTGTTCATTGCTCTTTGCGTTTGGTACTTTGCCGATTATATCCGCCATTGGTTCAAACAAGCCCTTCAACGCTCAATCGACAAAGACGAAAAACTGTAAGAAATTAATACCGTACCATGCAAAAAAAAAATTACATATTTCGATAATTTTGTCATGTAATAATTTTTTATATTTAAAAAAAAAAAAAACAGGTGGCAAACGAAGTTGGATAGAGTAGGAATAGTGACGGGTGTAACGGGGAATTTGTGCTTAACGTTCGTGTTTTATCCGGTGACACGAAGTTCTTCGATTCTGCCTATGCTAGGATTAACATACGAATCGAGTATTAAATACCATGTTTGGATTGGGAATTTAGCAATGTTACTCTTCACTGCTCATGGTTTTCTTTACATTCTTTACTGGATTCTCACTGATCAATTATCCCAGGTAATTTTTTATTTTTTTTTACTTTTTAAGTCATTTTTTTACTTTCAATATATTATTTTCATACATTTTTATTTTGGGTAAATTACAATCACCTACCTGAGGTATGGTCAAATTACAAAAAAAACCCTCTTGTTTGGATAATTACAACTACCCCCTCAAGTATAAATCTTTTTACATGTTCACCCTTGCAGTTTCAAATTTAGTGGAATTTTCGAGATTATATGGATTATTATTACTTTTGTACCCGTTTTATCCTATTCGAACTCCACATTTTGAAGCAAGATGATCATAATATGTGTTTTTAAGCTTGTATATATCAGATTGTGGTGCATCAGAAACTGTATTTTTACACAAAACGAGTACAAACTAGAGCACATTCCACGAAATCTAGATGATTATGTTGAATTTGACACCATAAGGGTGGAGGTATAAGAAAAAATCATAGTTGAGGGGAGTAGATGTAATTATCCAAACAAGAGGGGTTTTTTCGTAAATTAACCATACCTCAGGGGTGGTTGTAATTTACCATTTTATTTTTTTTCATTTTTTTTCATTTTTTTTTTTGAATGTTTTTGTGCTATTTCTATATTTTGTATAATATGTAAAAAAAAATCAAAATAATGAATTTGTGTTTTGATACTGCTTAATTTTGTTTGATGTTAACGGGTCAATTGGGTTCGACCCGTTAAGTTCGGGTTTGCGATGAAACGGGTTCGAATTTTGGCTAATAAAAATCGGGGTGGGTCTTGAATTTAATTATTATCCCTAATAATATTTAGTCAATTGTGGGGGTGGGTGTAGTGGAGGTGGGGGTGGGTGTTAATGATGAAATTAGGAAAAAATGATTATTAAGTAATATCACGTGAGGTGACACTTATAACTAGTTAGGTTAAGTGGTCACTAATTACTAAATTAACCCTTTAACTTTTTTTGGTAATTATGAATACTTTAGTTTAACTTTTATTCCAAATTACTTGTTACCACCTAACAATTCTTAACTTTAAATGCAATACAAGTTGCATCATTCTTTCTTGTTATATTACCCTTGTGAAATTTACTCTAACCATATCTTATTGTATAATTTAGGAAAACTTACAACCACCTACCTCCATAAAGTATAATTACAACAAAAAAAAAAAAAATCTATTTGAGAAATTACATCCAGATCCGTACAGTTTGTAAATTTCTCACATCCACCGCTTACAAAATGGTGTTAATGTAAGAAATCTACAAATTGTAGAAGGTGGGTGTAATTATTGAAAAATGAAAATTTTCTTTTTTTTTTTTGCAAATAGACCTTACCTTAGGATAGTTGTAATTTACCCTATAATTTATGACAAGACATATGCACACTACTATTAATAAAAATAAAAAACAAATAAAATCATGATAAAACTCCACTACTCTAGTGTGTGTGTGTGTGTGTGTGTGTGTGTAAATTTAAAAAAAAAAATATTAGTCATTTTTTGTTATCATGGCTTCCACAAAATTGGGACAAGAAATTGTGGCCTTGACCCAATTGACATTTTAAATTTTTTTTTTAATATTATAATTACACTACTATGATTTATGAAGCATGATGACGTTTGTTGAACATTATTGACGTCACAGTGACGTCATTATTTCAATTATCTTTAAATTTCCCACATAACCCCTTTTACAATAATAAAAAATGTTATTGATGTCATAGTGACGTCATTATTTCATAATTATATTCTGTTTCTTGAATTAATGTAGATGCTACAATGGGGAGACCACTATGTATCAAACATAGCAGGAGAAATAAGTTTGGTATGTGGATTGTGTTTATGGATTACAAGTTACCCTAAATTAAGAAGAAAATTGTTTGAGTTGTTTCTCTACACACACTATCTCTACATTCCCTTCATCATTTTCTTCGTATTGCACATCGGAATCGGCTTCGCCACGATTATGCTCCCCGGTTTTTATCTCTTTCTCATCGATCGCTATTTGAGGTTCTTGCAATCGAGGGACAATGTTCGGTTGGTTTCCGCTCGTGTCCTACCGTGTCGTACCGTTGAGCTCAACTTCTCCAAAACTCCAAGTATTTATAATTATTCTTGCATGATTAATAATACGTACAATTTCAATGTTCGGAATCTTGTAAAATTTTTTTTTTTTTTGATAGGTTTGAGTTACAATCCGACGAGTACGATTTTCGTAAATGTGCCCACCATTTCCAAGATGCAGTGGCACCCTTTCACCGTCACGTCGAGTAGTAACTTGGAACCGCAAGTGCTAAGTGTCGTCATCAAATGTGAGGGCAATTGGACAAAGAAGCTATACGACGTAGTTTCATCCCCTTCCCCTGCCGATCGTCTCCAAGTCTCCGTCGAAGGACCGTACGGGCCGTCAACAACTCATTTTCTCAGGTTAAGAAAATAAACCGCAACGCACAACAATAACGATATACGTCTGTATGTGTGTGTGTGTGTGATATATCGAATTGTTAAAAAAAACTCGTTGTGTTATAAATAATATTAGCAAAAAAACCCACATGAAGCATTTTTTTAGCACAAATCCCCCTAAATGATACCTTTTTAGGGGCGATTTGCTAATAAAATTGAATCATATGGATGATCTTGCTAATATTTTTCAACAATTAGAGTAAACACAACGATGCTGAAAGCAGTTAGCCCCTATACTAAATTACGAGTAAAATTTAAATTTCGCCACTTTTCGTGTCTCGATTAACGTGTTTTTAATCCGATTTTTTGCAGGAATGACATGTTGGTGTTGATTAGTGGAGGGAGTGGGATAACACCATTCATTTCCATAATAAGAGAGCTTATCTTCATCAAATCCACCCTCAAATGCAAGACTCCCAAAATCTTGATCATACCAATTTTCAAGAACTCATCAAATCTCTCCATATTAGACCTAATCCTCCCAAACTCCACCACCCCTTCAATTAACTTTCACAACCTAGACCTACAAATTGAGGCCTATATCACTCGAGAAAAAGGGCACCCGGAAGACAACCCGCAAACCCCACGAACCGTATGGTTCAAGCCCGATTCATCCGACAAGCCCGTTTCACCCACGCTAGGCCCGAATAGTTGGTTATGGCTTGCTGCGATAATCTCATCGTCTTTCGTCATTTTCCTAATTTTGCTCGGGATTTTCAATCAGTATGTGGTTTACCCTATTGATCGAAACACGAATAAGTTGTACTCGTTCACCAAGAAAGGATCGATGAACATGCTACTCGTGTGCTTCTCGATAGTGGTGACGGCTAGTGGGGCGTTCATATGGAACAAGAAACAGAATGCAAAGGAGGCGAAAAGAATTCAAGACACAGAGGAATCGGCGACGAGTAGGTCGTCGTCAGATTCGTCGTACGGTCAAGAAGATATCGAAATGGAGAGCGTTTCATTACAGTCGACCGGCAAATCCATCAATGTGCATTATGCTCAAAGGCCTGACCTCAAGAGTAAGTACAAAATTCACCATAAATATATATATAGATATATATATTATTTTTATTTATGAAGAAAGTGATGTGGAAATTCAAATAATGTAGGGATATTGTTGGAAGTGAAAGAGTCAAATGTTGGAGTGCTTGCTAGTGGGCCCAAGAAGATGAGGGAAGATGTTGCAGAGATATGCTCATCTGTACACGCAGAAAATCTCCATTTTGAATCCATCAGCTTCACTTGGTGAATGTTGTTTAAATTATGCATGGTCTGAAGCTATTATTATTATTATTATAAATATTATTATTATAATAATGATATGTAATGTATTTGAACCTGTTGTGTATTTGAAATTAATGGATATTTGTGTAAAATAGATTAAGATGATGCTATAAAGTAATGTTAGTTTTGTTTCTACTTTCAAGAGATATGTAGTAAAATTACTGATTGAAGTTTTTTTTCTTTTCTCTTGTATTTGTTATTTATGATCAAAATCACGTTTAAAATAGAAACGGTATTATTAAAACTGAAACGACATTTAATTTCCTAGTCTCCTAGAGGGTAAAACCCAGCAATGTTCTCAACCATATCAATCATCTTTCTGTGAATAATTCTTAAAGTTTCTTACAATTTATTAAAAAGAAACAATTTTGAAGTAAATTATGTGCTCCGGTATCGGGCTACATATAACTTAGTGTATCATAAAGTCATCGATATTAAATATGGACCTTCATACGAATAGCCATCCACCCCTCTTCCTCTATTTATCTACCTATCTATCCCGGACTCTCCGGAAATGGAAAAGAAGATAATACTTACTCCCGAAAACAAAAGGAAAAAAACGAGAAAAAAAACTAGAACGTTTATTTTATGCACAAACACATGGTTCACTATTACTTCTGCAAGGCTATATTTCCTAAGGGTTTTACATGCTACCTTCATAAAGACTCTTGCTGCAATTTCAGTTTCTGGAGAATATTCATCTGTAAGCTCAAAAGGTTTTCCAGCTTGGTAATGAATAATTGAGAGACTTTTCGTGTTAAAAATTCTCAATTAAACCGATCAAATGGGGTTTCAAATAAACCAGTTACCTCTAGTTCATGATTCTTCCGCATCAACAGCAGACGAGAGCTTCTCGTCCAACTCCTCAATCATGTCATGGTATTCAGCAAAAGCTGGATGTGCCTTTAGATTGTATATACATCGCAAAAATGCAATGAGCTAGATATAAAATGTGATCCAACAAAAATGATTTTTACGAGAAAAAAATAAATACCTGCATGGTTATGTTGTAGGCTTTCCACAGTCGTAAATCGTGCCTAAACAAATCGAAAAGAACCTGAAAAGACGAGGTAAACGGATAATCATTAGTTAACCAACTCGAGAAAACAATGCAGAGCAGAAGTTTTAACAAGAATGTCAACTATACCTCAGAACGCCTCAATAATGTGGCCAAGACTACTATCCATTCTTTAAACTTGACTGAGCACATATGTGCCAGGAGGAATTCTGCGTCCAAACGACTTTGCAAAGTTCCCATATGAAGCTACATCGACAAGCAACAAATCGATGAATATTCAAAAATCGTTACATATTATATCCAATTAGATTTAAGCGGCTTGTTCAACCAACTCAGCTTAACTTCAAGAGTACAATCAAATGAAGCAGCACCTAAAACTAAACATCAAGCCCAAATGTGAACAACTCTAGATAGATTACCTTCTGTGCAATCATTTCAAGCCCTGAAGCAAAATTATCCAAACGAGCACTTCCATATCTTTCTTGTTGAAGATACTCCTGTAACAAAACAAAAAGAAAAGAAGATACTCATGTGACAAGTTCTGATACGCTTCTAAAGATAGAAGATGGACAAGAAAAAACTTTTCTGAATAACTAAAAGAGAGTGAATTATACCACTAGATCAAATTGTGTGCCTTTGACAAATGCAACAAGCTTTGAAAGCTCTTTTCCGGACATCAAATAGCTGGCATGGCTTTGTAAAATACTTTTAACAGAAGCAACATGTGCACTCTGCTCTTTGAATGAGGTGCTGCTATACATTCCAAGAAAATCAAAAAGTGTATAAGCTATCAAGACAGAGAAGTTGAATGATTGCAACTTGCGAAGAAGTCAATTAAGGCCTATAAAAAAATAACTCAAGGCCTGTGCTTACCTTTTTGCATCCTGTGGTTGCTTCCTAAAACTGGAAGGGAAAAGAAAATATCCCAAAAATCTTGGAGAATCTCTGTCAGAATCAGTATTTGTGGGTTCATATTCTCTGCCTGATCTTAGTAGAAACCTCACCTAAGAAAAAGAATTCAAGAAGAAAAGATTAAAAGATTAAAACATAAAAAGGAGAACGTCAAACATCCTCCAGAAAGTTACACAAGTAATGTGGACACATACCAGCTCTCCAGCCAGTTCGTATAAAGATTCATCAAGCGTAGCCTAAAAATTGAGAAGTCCTTGTCAGAATATAAAGCATTAAATGTAGATGTACTTGAGAAAAGATCGAACACTCGGGTATTATAATGAATAATACTTGAAATATCGGCCATTTGAACCAGATATTATAGGTAGTGTGTGCAATTACAACAAACAAAGTGTTGAGTTAGGGTTCTATAGTAACATTCTCGTTACAAAGAATAAAACCCTTTCAAGTTTCTTACGTATCTTTATTGGACCACAAATATGACTACATCTGCACGTGTCTATTCGTGAAGGAAGAGAAAGAAGCATGTAATCACCTGCAATAAACGCAAGGCAAAATATTGGCTCACAGCAGGACCCTCAAGCTTCGCAATGACCTGTGGCAACACAAATAAACAGGTTCGTAATCAGCATAGAAGGATAATTTTCACATGAAAAATGTTGCACGGAACTATCCTCACTTTCCCCACTCATACAGAAATATGAACATAATCAACATATATAGATAATCATTCTATGACACAATACCACAACAGAAGATCAACTACAAGCCAAACACATATGTGTATAATACATGCACATAACAACCAAGCAATATGCAAAATAATACGAATATGTTTCTGAGCACAGGAATGATCAAGTAATAAAGAACAAGATACATGCTATGTGAAGGCTACTACGTAAACTAAGAAGAAACTAATCATTTTTTTGTAACCGTTCATTTGATGACAACCATCATGTATGAACAGCAAGAAGTAGGTCTATTATACTGTTAATTATATTTGAGATTACAGGTCTACTTAATAATAAGAGATTTAAAAGCATGAAATCCCCTCCTATACAACCAACAAAAGAAAACAAAAATAAGACAAGGTAATCAAAGTAAATAGTAGATGATAATGCTTAGAATATGTACATGGTAATGAAAATGGCACTTACAAGTATATAGCAGGCTGCAGTGCGGTACCATCTTCGTTGAAAGCATTCTTCAAACAACCTAAGCATCAAATATTTGATTCCTTAATTACAAAGTAAAGCAGGAAAGGTCACTTTGCAAAGGATAAAAAAATAGAGAAGACATGATTCATTTTCTAAGTTAGATTTTTATGATAGAACAAAGTAATATATAGGTGATAAGGTAGAAAAGAACTAATAACTCTTAAATTCAGAATACATGTACTCATTCTTTCGAGTGACGATGTTAATTGAAGTTGTTGGTTATTTGAAGACAAATGATGGGTTCAAAATACATGGACATAGGAAGTCATGTTGTTAATATCTAAGAGAGAATGGTTTACAGATTCGTGGTTTAAACATCTTTTGAAATTCCTCCATCTGAAATTTGATACGAAATATGGTAGTATATTATTGGGTAATCAAAATTAAAATTACTCATAGGCCTAGTTTCCAGTATTTGTAGAACAAAAGTAAGAAGATGAAATCCCGTACTCAGTTGATCTCCCAGCAGCAGAAAATAAATCTGCCCAATGTCGACCATCGGTTTTCCTCGCTACACTAACAACGACATCGTAATATTCAGGAAAGTATCTGATCAGATCACATGTCTTCTCCAAAAGGGATGTAGTATGATTGGCTCCTGCTGCCTGGTTTTTGCTTGAATTTTGGCTGTAAAAAATTGTTGGACATATTAAGCACATAAACTAGAAGTTAAGAGCATTTTATAATAGTCATACATCAACCCTAGAGCAAAGTGAATTTGACCAAAATTAATAACAAACATCCCCTCCAGCACCCTTATATTAGAGGAACAGCATATATGGCACAATATTGAATAGTGTTTATTTTTTCAAGGAGAATAGTTATTGGTTCCCCAATTCCCCTCCTGATGATTCAAACCCATGAAAAACTAGGTCATACCGTCATAAACTTCTCAAAAATGCAGAACTGTGATATGAAGATAAATTATGACCATTGTCTTTGCTCCTAATACCCAAAACGGCATATGTTATATTCAGTAGCAACGTTCATCCATACTCAATAACTTGACTCAACTTCAGTGGTCGAAAGGGTTGTTTGGTGTATAATTTGAGTGCATTATTTTTTTACAAAATGCTCAGACAACCATGAAATTAATTACAGATGATGCTTAAGTGGTTGGTGGATCCAGAGTCCCAAGACAATGAAATTCATTTGTAAATTGCTGGCCCTCAGAGAACTCTTACAACATCCAGGTTATGTACCAGGAAAGTAAAACGACCAAAATAAAATCATAAATAAACATTTCTTGAAATAATCGTTCAGTTGACCTTGAAAGTCAAATGAGATTCTCAATTCTGCTGTGGCAAAAGAAGTACCATTGAGTTCAGAATGGAGTGCCAATGTGCAATAGTAGATGAATTAACAAAATATTCCTAAACAGTAAACACAATTACCTGGAAATTTCAGCATCAAAAACTGTAAAAAGAAGCCATTCCAGACAATGAGAAAAATGTGGTTTCTCCGATGATAATTGTGCTAGGCGTAGAGCTTCTTCCCTCTTGTCCCGCTGCATGAAACGCAGGAATTACTTCAGTTTTTTTCATGTAAAATATTTTTCTATATTCCCTAACCAATAATAGAAAACACAAGTTAAACAGCCAAAGAAAAATTATCGATGGTGAAACATTCAATATCCAGCTCCTGCAACACCCCTTTTCTCCAACTTCACGACCCCCCACTCTTCCCTATCATATGTCGATCGGCTATTATAGATTATGACATTATGTGAGGCAACACGGAGAAGTGGGGAGAGCTAGTTTCGGAGAGGAATTATCCACTATTTTCAGTTTCACAACAAAGTGCTGTCACAGGATAACAAGACTAATTTTAGAAACATCCAAAAATGCACGGTTATGTACCTGAAGAAGATGACGGAGTAGACAATGTAATATGGTCTGTGCTTGAGGAGATGGCTCAAAACATGGGAACTCGGTACATGCTGAAAATGACATTCTCTGGGAAACACCAACTACTACACCAGCATTTGGAAGTAGACCGAGTGGGTATACCTCACGATCAAATTCCAGCTCCGGATCCAACTATCACATAAACAACATTACATAAACGAAATGAGATGATAAAGTGTTGACCTTAACAGCAGCATTAAGCCATGAACTATGCCTGCTAGTCTGCTACTCCATGTCTTTGATTACTCAATAAAATATAGTTGAACAATGAACATCAAATGACAACATAAAGAAACAAAATGAATGCACTCAACGTAAACTTAAGTGATATGTACAGTCGTAGATTCTCAAACATTTATTTTGCATGCTCTGTGTCAGACTACACAACTACACTACCAGCTTAGTACTTGTTGTCTAACACAGAGATCCACGTATCTCTAAAACATTTGATGCAAAGAGAGTCGAGTTCACAGTTTTATACAATACCTGCAAGAAGTCTTCCTGCTTAAAAGGATCAACACCTGGAGATGGATACCAAACCTGTAGAAGAGCTTCAACCAGTATTTATATCAGACATGTCGAGTAGAATGGACAATCTTCCATTAAGAGAGGTAATGGCTATGGAAACTGTTACCTGCATCCCTCTGTGGCCATAGTCTAGCCAGGAAACTTCCTCAATCAAGTTTGTTTTCTCTTCTGATTGACCGCAAGTAACCCAGAATAACTCTACAGAGTGAGTGAGCTCTATTTCCCGTCCATCATCCAAATCAAGCAGCGACAGTTCCCCATTCATCCGCAATATTAAACATCTAAAATCACATACAGCTAATCACCAGCCAAACCAGAAGTTCCTAAACTATAAATTAAGAATCTATAACTTAGCACGTACCTAGCAGGTTCTCGCGTTAATAAATCAGAAGACGACGAGATATCACTTCTTAATGTATATTCCCGTGGAAGCTGGTCAGGAATAAAATGCATTGCAGCTGGATGGCTCTTTGCGGTCATGATTGAAAGCTCTCGTACTGTAGAAAGCTGTTTGTCATTTTATCACTTAAAAAAGGCATGGAGAATAGTTAACTTTACTGCTATAATTTCATATCACAAGAATATTTAATTCAGTTGACATGGCTAGAACTAAAGTCTAGAACTATGTTGTATCATCCAACTGAATTCAAAAACTGTTCAAGCAACACCGCATCAAAGCTTTTCATTACCTGTAAATCTGGAGTACTAGATGGTGAAAGTTCGCCAGCTAATTTCACATGGTATATATGAACATCAAATGGGCGATAAGTAACAAGCAAATAGTCCTGATAAACATCCATGACCATTGGCTTTGTGAGCAATTGCTTCCGACAAAGTAGTGAACTTTGATCAAGGTGATATCTTGGGTAGAAAAGCAATTCATATCTGCAAAAACCAATACACAAACCAGGTGTCGGGACTCGGGATAGTAAATCAGTGATTTGTAGTAATTTACATGAAACTAACTGCAGCAATAGGTAGGCAAAAAAATACACACAGAAAGAAATTCACAATAAATATCTTACTCTATTCATTGTTCATTCTTGTATCCTTGTGACATGCATCAATCAACATATAACCATTTTCATTGAAAAACAATGAACCTAGTAAAAAGAACAAGCCCAGTGGGGAATATATCACAACAAAGTGTACCAAGAACACAACATGATGACAGGGCATCAGCCAAAACGTTAAGCAAGAAGCACGAGTGATAGATCAGATCCAAAGACATTTTATAAACACCTAAATTCATAGCAGTCAACAGACTAGCATTTGAAACAAACTAGGAAATTTGATTGCTAACATTTAGCTACATCTAAAAAATATGGCGGTTGATTTCCTTACGTGTTGGAAGAGTCCACATAGTTGCAAACAACAACAATTTTACCCAGCCATAACAAACCCTGGCACTGAATTTGTTGCTCCTGAGTAACATCTCCAAACACTCTCCATCGCTTTAGACGTATGTCGTACAAGATTAAACCATGGCGCCCGGCAACTGCCAGATACATTCCGTCCCTACTGGCAGCAACATGTAGAACAGGCCAGTTTTGAGAAATATAGGAGACCTGGTACATTACAGAGTCAATCAGAAGCAACATCTTATAATGAAGGGAAGAGAAACGGAAAGGGCAGCCAGTAATCAGAATTGTGTTTGATACATAACTGGAAGATTAAGATGCAAGATCTTAAGTTCATCAGTATCTTCTGACTGAACAATAAGCAAACGGTCTTCACCATAGATAACTTGGCGTGCATAGGTTGTACCAGAAACACCTCTATTGAGGCAGCATTTGCCAAAAGAAAAGGCAATAATTCTCTCTGAAGATCTTTCTTCAATAGCGTAAAGCCTATATCCATGTTCATCCCAGTGCATAAGCGAGGTGCCACCCATCATAGGCTCATACTTGAGATCCTGGTTCGGCTTAACCACAGGAGAAGAAACAGAGCTCAAACCTATCTGGCGGATTGTAGACATCAAGCGACAACCAGATATAGACCAAACAGTAAGCCCTCTTAACTTCCACCCAACTGCAAAAGAAGAGTTATCAGGTGTCCAAGCAATACATTTGACAGGACCAGTATCTTCCGCACAATATCTGCAAAAAAGAAATAGAGAAGGCATTAAGTCTTATTAGTTATAACTAGAAAGGGACAAATTTCTAAACCAATTGAAGTATACACACTGAAATATTGAAACGAATCTTGAAGAAATCGTAGCTATATATAATAATTATATACACATGTCGGGTTCACACTAACTCCAAGCAATTAATTAATAAAAAATGATGGCCATATCCCAAAAATATTTGTACTGTAAGTACGGGAGGTGTATATATCTCTCCAAGATCTTCAAAATGAAAGAAACCATACCAGTCTCTAAGTCCTTTCTCACTGTCAAGTAGTCCTATTTTAGATTAGTCAACTAGTTTTCACCAAAGCTAGCTATACTGAGAACAATATCCAGGAAATTGCTACTTGCTACATGTTATAGATTGTAATATATTACATACATAGCTAGGATGGATTAGCTTATATTTAGCGATATTGATTGATATAGTTTCATAGTTTAGCTTAAAGTTATCGATGTATTCCTTTATTCTCAATACAGCAGAATATGAATTCCCCATTCACTCTTTACACCATACAACATACCCATAGCAGCTATCTACATGGACATGGAGAAAGTGAAAAACATAGTCACTAAGCATCCACGAAAGGAACAGTAATAATATGCCATTGCCATCAACATGCACTATTATTTTCATTCAACAATCTTCATTGAATAAAAAAGACTTACCCCCAATCATGCAAAGATACAGAGCGCATAAAGGATGCAGAATCTGCAAGGTCATATAGCTCAACAGTGCCTTTCCGGGTTCCAACGGCAAGAATCTGTTGCTCTGGAGCCACCGATGCACATACAGCCTCCCCAGAGCCTAAACTCCTTTCAACTAAAATGGATTCGGCATGCTTTAGACCTCTCTTGCTCACAGAACACTGAATGAGTTCCCCATCAGAAAACAGCACAAATAATAGCCGTAATGTAATGGAAAACTCAAGATGGACAGCTGCACGACTCTGAGATACAACATGGTTCACATGATTGGACCCATCTACAGCTTGAACGCCAACAGATGGCAGACCATTGCCCAAGTGATGGGAGAGCTTATTAGCAATAATGGAGCTATTCGGCAATACAGCAGGGGAAAATGCGCCGCAAAACTGTGTAATGATCAGGAATGTTATTCACCTCACCAGTGGATCAATTCTCGTTAGAGTAAATAGTAAACTTTTTCAAGCATAAAACAAACAAGGAAAATAACCATCACTCATACGAAAAATATTTCAACATTCCAGCTATGTATCTGTTGGTATACATTTGAGAAAGTAAAGACATTCTTATTCCAAAAGCACATACCTCGCCCTTCCAAGAGATGTTATACAGTGATCCATCAGAGAGTCCAATAAGCATGTGTTTGCTATCACAAATAAAGTTGCTCCTGTCATCCGAACATGAATAATGATATTATACTGAGATCCAAAATCAAGGAAATCGAAGGTTCATATTCAGCTCAAAAGTCAAGCATGCTAGGTGCTTCTACCATACATGAGGAAAACACAAAATCAAGTGAGATGCACAATGAACAATCAAGTTAACAGTGGATGATCAACCTAATCATCTCACCAACTCTCCCCCCATCTCCAAGTCCATCAAACTCGGATCAGATGATAACTGGAAGAAAACGGAGTGAGGGCAGAGGTCATTAATGCAAAGAATCATCAAGAAGCTCTTGAAAAATACAGAATGAAGCTTATGGAAGTCGAATTAGTTTCCTCTTCTATAACAAAACTGATCAAAAGACACTCATAAAAGAGAATGTTAAAAATTGCGACTACTTCGCAATATTTGACATAAGTATATACTTATGGATGCTATTATCTTGATAGGAGTTACAGAAAAAAATCATCCTCTTATCAATGTTTTAGAACATCATTCCTTAAGTGTGCTTTCCTGCTGAACCACGACAAAGTAATTCAAACAGGAAAAAATTCCACTCAGATATCAGGTTTCTGACGAACTTTAGATTAACAGATTTGCTTTATTAAACAAAAGTTTGTCAATAAAACTTCTAGCGATTAATTTTTACTTTATTTTTTTAAAAGAAGAAGAAGAAGAAAGAAACTGTCTACATGAGATGACAAAAAAATCATATAGGATTGAGCGCAATATCTGCTCCCAGAGGAACACCATGATAAAAATTATTTACCGTAGCATTGCATTATAACTTTTATCAATGTGTGCCAGCAAATGGAAAAGCCTCCTAAAGTAATATATGCAGGAACAATGAAATTATTTTATAGTACATAATAGCCTTACAGAAGCAAATACTGAAGCAACATCTCATTTCTCATTTACTTTATTATCCTATTTTATCCATGGGTGGGGCTTATGAAACAGTATTAGAATAAGAACGCAGTGACACAGTGGCAGAGAAATGAGAGATAGCTGCTGCCCTATACATATATATCTAGTAGGTAATAGATTTTTGAAGCCAGACAAAGGATATATGTTATGCAGGAAATGAAGTTTATTACATGATATAGATGCTTACACGGTCAAATTATTATTTGCAAAGGGTACTTGCTCTCCAAGGAGTAAAGATACATTCGCAAGAAATAAACCAGTTGGTTGCTTCCCGCCAATAAGTATTTTCTTTTCCGTGAATTGAACCTTATAAATATGCAGATAAAAGGACGATGTCTGCAAAAAGGGAGCAATATTAAATAACCAAAATTCAGAAAACAAGATTGAGTCGCTAGTTAAATTACATTCATCCTATACGTACAAGTTGTGAACTTATTGATAAAAAAATGGAGATGTCAGTTAAATATATGCTCCTAGATGAGTATGCAATCCAAAAAAAATTGGTGCCACCTCATTCACAGTTTGACTATCCAAGAAAAGCATTATCAAATGATATAAAGAAGAAATCATTTATAAACCACCATTTTTGGAGAAGGACTATCACCAAATGAGAGTAGTAACTAATGTAGCCAAAATAATCACACCACGACATCATTGTCAGTTATCTGACAAGATATTACCAACTACAGTGTCACACTACAAAACAGCAAATATAAAAAACACTATACAAAGAAATAGCGATCCCTCGTATAAAACATATGTGTTAACTGGCCGTCTATATAATTCATTTTCTCGCATTGTCTCCAAACAACATAAGTCTGCTAAGCACTAACACGAATGCATTTAATACAGTTCAATTATTTCTAACAAGTGACAGTACACGGTGCGTATTAAATCATGGGGTGCTAGCTTACAGATGATCTTAAAAAATTACAAAACCTTAACAATGTGCTGCTCTAATTTATTTATGCAACAGAAGCACAGCACAAATCACACATTTTACTTCGGGATCAGCACCTCCTATTGAGATGCCTACATTATATCCAACTAATTCAAAATACTTACAAGGATAGCAATAAGCTTCGTGTCCGGGCTCCAAATTGCCTGCAAATTCTCCCCTTCTCTGCGAATCGATTCCGCGTCTCTCTTGTACTTCCCCAATCTCACTCTATGCTGCGATTACAACAACCCGAGCTCAAAATTCCCAAATTCAAAAAATAAAGGAAACACTAAATTCAAAAAACTCAACCAACAAAATACAGAAACGACAATGCGTGTGACATTACATACTTGAGAAGAAGACCAGAGCTCGAGGTGAGTGGGGCAGACAACCAGGAGCAAGCGATTCACAACTTTGAGATACACGATCTGCTGCGTGGATGCGCAATTTGCCAACTCTAGCGGGATGACCTGCGGCCATCCGTATGCCATATACATATTCGAATATTCGTGTGTGTGTGTGAGAGAGAGAGAAAGAGAAAGGTTTTCAGAGAGAGAAATTCATGGAATCTGTGTTGAAGAGTAGAGAGAGAAACCTAGGGTTTCAGAAATTGGAACTGGATCGGTAGATTTTTGTTCGAGAAGGTGAGTGATGCAACCATTTTTTTTTTTTTTTTCAGCAGAGAAGAAGATCTGAGATTTTCACAGAACCAAGTCTCGAATTAATTTCTATTCCAAAAAAGAAAAAGAAAAAAAAAAAAAGGGGTCGAAATAACTTAATTGTACATTTACGCCCTGTAATTACCGTATATATGATATTTAGCCCCTCAAATTTCTTTGGTGGACTGGTGCAACATTATTAGTTGGGCTATTAGGCCTACACACTGGACTAGTTCTTAATAAAGCTCCCTATTAAGCCCAACTCTTTAATTACAAAAAATAAAAAATAATAATCATCCAAAAAATAAAAATAACAATAGAAGAATATAAATAAATTAAAAAAATTATAAATTAGTTTAATGTAAGCAATTAATTAAGCTAAAATAGGTGAAAAAAATAGAAATATCCTTTAAATTTAATTGATTATTCGACACGCAATCCCAAATTGATCGTGAAAAGCCCATTCGTGTTCGGTTCGTTAATATAATGTAGCAGGCCTGAAAACATACTTTTGTTTGATATGTTATGATTCGGCTCGAACTCGAGTTCGATTCATTCTTAACTCTGACTGAAGCTCGCTCGAGGTTTGACTTCATTGCTTATTCGATAAAAAAATTCGAACAAACTTGGACAAAAATTGCGTTTGGATCGGTTCGTAGCTTTACCGGTCTACTTGCAATGACTTATTATAGTCAATGTCTGTTGCAAATTTGCAAGGGAAATAAAATCTGGTATTTATATCAATTTTGGTAAAAAAAAAAAAAAAAAAAAAAATCAAAGTCTTCATTACTTTTCAACTTCTATTTTTCTAGATTCAAAGAATTTCATTCAAGAGTTGTGCTTTCACAATTTAATGCTAATTCATTCAAATCTAGAAAGTTCTAATTTCACGAGGTTGGTACGCACTAAGATGGCGTTTGGTTAAGTTTATAAACTATTAAAAAATTTATAAGCTATTTGGTATTTTTTTCGAAAGGAAATCTTAAAAAACCGTAAAATAAGATCTTATAACGAGAAAATTTATTTATAAGATCATTACCCAAACACTTTAAAAATCAACTCTTAAAATAACTTATCAGTTGTTTAGACTTTAGAATAAGCTCAGGCAAACCACGTTCCTAAATTTATTCCCAAACAAAAAATAATTTAAAAAAGGGTAATTACAACCAACCCCCTGAGGTACAGTTAATTTACGAAAAAAACCCTCTTGTTTGGATAATTACATCAACCCCCTCAACTATGATTTTTTTCTTACACCTCCACCCTTATGGTGTCAAATTCAACCTAATCATCTGAATTTCGTGGAATGTGCTCTAGTTTGTACTCGTTTTGTGTAAAAATACAATTTCTGATGCATCACAATCTGATATATACAAGCCAAAGAACACATATTATGACCATCTTGCTTCAAAATATGGAGTTCGAATGTGATAAAACGGGTACAAAAATGATAATATTTCATATAATCTAGAAGATTCCACTAAATTTTATAATTGAGGGATCATTGTAATTACTCAAACAAAAGGGGGATTTTAGTAATTTGACCATACCCGAGGGAGGTGATTGTAATTTACCCTTAAAAAAAATAGAACAATAAGTTAGTACTAATTTAAAAATCGAAAAAGAAAAAAAAAAAGGACTGATGACGTCACGAGTCTCCAACAGTCAAGAGCGCGTCCTCTCCACGCGCCACCGCAAATCCATGAATACTGTAAAATACTCACAGCATCCTAATTACATTAAAAAAAGCAACCCAAATCCAAATAGAGTTCTTGTAAATAAAAAACACTAACCAGTAAATAATTCAGTTGTCACCACACAAACAATTAATATAATCCGAGTCCAATTAGACATTCATACTATATATTTATTACAGGGCGCAGAGACACTGATTCTCCATTGGAATATTCAATCCTCACGCCGCCCCATGAATCTTTGATTCTACCGAGTTTGAGAAAAATAATTATTTTTTTTTTTTTAAAAGAAGAAAAAAAGATGGGAAATAATTTGATTGTGGGTTTATTATTATTATGTGTAATCTTTACATTACATGTTTATTCAAGCGACTCGCAACAATCGCCGCCGTTCAATACTTACACCATCTCCAGCTTCTCCTATGGCAGAACTCTGGTCAAACCGTACGACTGGCATTATATCAAAGGTAAACAAAAATTCACCCATTAATTAAATTTATTTTTATATATATTTGTTGTGGTTTGAGGTTTTTTTTTTTTTTTTTTTTAGTGTTCTTGATTGCAATGTTTGGAGGGCTGTGTTCAAATTTTCGACTTTTTTTTCGAATTTCTATTTATGTTTTCGGTGTGTTTCGTATTGATGTCTTGTAATAATCGGAAATTTTTGTTTGATGTATTTGTTTTCGTGGTTTTCGGTTTCGATTTTAGCACTTGTTATGCTTGAATGGCTGAGGCCAACATTACTGATTATGTGAATGTGATTGTATATAGCATTATACTTTTGGATCAATTACCGGGAATCGTGTCCTTTTGTGATCACATTGTTCGGGTTTTTTTTTTTTTTTTTAATAATTTGTTCGACGAGCTTTACTAATGTTCGACAAGATTCAATTTTGCTCTTGTATATCTCCGTTCTGGTGTGATTGTAGCAATTGCGAGTTTTTCCGCCTCGGTTTTACGAGGCGGAAAAAAGTTAGTTCTTTTCGTGTTTAACCAATAAATAGTGCCACAAGTTTCACGGTAGCAGCAACGTATGTCAAAAAGGATATACTCGTTCTACATACTGCATTCGATTTCAATCCGCTTTTTCAAATTCTTTTTATTCTTGATCTAATTCGCACGAACTTATCGATAACCGGATTAATTCGTTTTCGAAATATCTTGCTTCGTCGCATTGCAGTTGAATTGCCACCATGGTTCTCTTCGTTGTCTTTAGCATTGGAATCAGATGTCGACCTCGTAAGTATCTACCAATCCTCGTTCGTTCGAAAGCGTGACGTATTATTACTCTTGGCTTACGTTTTACGATATAATTTTTTTTTTATTTTTTTACAGGATTTAAATAAAATAAACAACGCATCTGCAAGCTCTCTGCCGATGATATGCTTTCGAGAAGGAAGCCCTCCTCTCCCTGATGTATATAACACATCTCTAACGGGCCTAGGTAAAAAAAATTAATTTCTTAAACACAAGTTTCGTTTTATTTATTTTTAAATTTTTTTTTTATTTTTATTTATACTTGATATATAACTGTCGAGAAATTTATTTTTCGCAGTGATAGATCGCGTTTCGAATGGTTCCTTTATTGGGACACAAAGTCTTCAAAATGTCGACAAGTGTTACCCGATGCAGAGTAATATATCATTACGATTGACAAACGAGCAGGTTTGTTTTGGACGTCTAGTAACAAACGAGCTTTATTTATTTATTTAATTTTATTTTTCTTAAAAAATCGCCCGAGACGAACTATGTTTCTGTACAGATTTCTCCAGGCACATGGTACCTTGGGCTATTTAACGGCATTGGATCGATAAGAACACAGTCCAAAATGGTATATTATCGATTATTCTTCACAAGATTCGATTTTTAAGATTTTTTTTAATCACAAATACTTTTTCGTAATTATAAAAAGGAGTTTATTTTCTATTGCCAGATTAATCGAGGCTCTGCGTATTCCTTTAGCGGAAATGTCACTGTCGAGGGATGTTCGACCTCGACAATGTTGGGCCAATTTTGCAACCAAACAGTCACTGCACTCTCGTGTAACGACAGCTTTAATTTAACTGGAAACGGGAAAAATATCATTTCCTGCCAAAATTCAAACGGACTTGTTTGTCACGAAAACGACAAACCGAATATGTACTCGTTCGATGTGATGGCAATTTCGGAAGAGATATTTATTTCGACAGCCAATTTGACATTCAACAATACGCAATATTCAAATATCACGGGTTTGATGTGTTATGCTAGACACGGGGCGATGCCAAGCAAATCCGTTTATGATTTTTCCGGTGAATTGAGTAAATCCCCTTTGGTTATAAATTTTCCGAAAATCGGGAGGTGGTATATTACTATTCTACCCATTGATATCTCGAATAAAAGTGAGGTGGCGCAAATAAATAGTTCGAGATTGTGCTATTTCTTGGGATTGCAAGTGCTTCAGTGCCCTATGGGTAAAGCTGGATCGAACTGCACATTTGAAAGATACAATCTTCAGGTAATAATTTTTTTTTATGCTTACGAGGTTATATCTTTAGGCCTCGTTTGGTTGGTAAGATTGGCCATGATTAATTAAATAATTGTATGTTTGTTAGTCCAATAATTTTTTGGGTCGGCCCGCAATTGAGTTTTTATAAGATTATTTAATCCTATTTTGGCTAATCTTATCTTACGAACAAAACGAGGCCTTAATTGATTATATCATGCCCTTAATCAATCTTCTAATTTCTTGATTTTTTTTATTTTTTTTTATTTTTTTTCCAGACATTGTTAAGGAAAAACCCATCTCTCCCATTCGAATCAAACTACATACCGATAACCGAAAAATTGTCATCACCGTCACCTAAATTTCCTCTACAACCCCTTGTGAGTAACTTCTCGACTGGAGGAAACACCACCGATTCTTGGACATATTTCGTGCTAGATATTCCCAACGGTGCAACCGGAGGAAATGTCCATATCGCCCTCACTTCTGATACTAAGATTAGTTACGAACTCTACGCAAGATTCGGGGGATTGCCTTCTCTTACAACATGGGATTACTTCTACGCAAACGGCACAAGCAGCAGCACCGGTTCGATGTTTTTCAAGCTGTATGATTACAGTGAGAAGATGATTAGTTTTTATATATTATATGTTAGAGGAGGAACTTGGAGCTTCGGTTTGAGACAAGTGGGCCGCGCTGGTTCGACCGGTGAAACTGATATCTCGTTGTCGCTCGAGAGGTGTCCGCAGAAATGCTCTTCTCACGGGACTTGTCAATCGGTTTTGGATACTAGTGGACTCGCTTTATACAGGTATTTTTTTTCATCATGCTCGTAAAAAAAATTAATTTACGACGTAAAATTTAACTTGAATCATCTCGAATTGTTTTTTTTTTTTTTTTTTTTTTTGTTTTGCTGTCAGTTACTGTGCATGCGATAGGAACCATGGAGGTTTCGACTGTAGTATCGAACTTGTATCACATCGAGGTAATTATTTTCTTCAACGTACTGAATTGTTTTTTTTTTATTAAAAAAAAAATTCTCGAGTTTTTGGCAATGAAATCTGCATGCACCGAATAATAATATCTATAGTGCTTGCACAACTGAAAAGGGCAAATTACGGCCATCCTCCGAGGTATGCTCAAATTACGAAAAAACCCCTCATGTTTGGGTAATTACAACCACCCCTCTACTATGTATTGTCTTACGTGTCCACCCGTACAATGTCAAATTTATCTACTGGAGGGGTTTTTTTGTAAGACAATACATAGTTGAGGGGGGTGGTTGTAATTATCCAAACATGAGGGGTTTCTTCGTAATTTGAGCTTTCCTCGGGCGTGGTCGTAATTTGACCGAACTGAAATAAGGATTTTGTGAGGGATTGTAATTATAAAAAAAATTGGATCTTTATTGCTTTCTCCCTCCGAATCTTTTATTTTATGTATATACATTGCAATATTATGCTTTGTTAAAGGAAAAAACGGTGAAATCTCGTGCAGGTCACATTCGACAGTCGATTTTCCTCATAGCATCCAATGCTGCAGCTATCCTCCCTGCCTATTGGTCCCTACGGGAGAAGGTATTCCGTATTAATATTATTTAAATTAATTTTTTTTCCATAAAAAAAATATATATAAAGAATATAAAATAATCGATATACTTATCTAATTTAATTTCTTCTCTAGGCATTTGCAGAATGGGTTCTTTTCACATCTAGCGGCATCTCAAGTGCACTGTATCATTCATGTGACGTAGGCACGTGGTGCGTCTTGTCGTTTCGTGTATTACAGGTACATTATACACGTTAAAAGTCTCGACTTTCGTTAGATTTTCCGGGTTTTTTTATTTTATTGCTAATTCTCGATTTTTTTTTTGTGTGTGATCTCAGTTTTTGGACTTCTGGCTTTCTTTCATGGCGGTTGTAAGTACTTTTGTGTACTTATCGACTATTAGTGAAGTCTCGAAGAGAACAATCCACACTGTTCTTGCAATTGTAACGGCTCTCTTGGCCGAAACGGGGCCCACCAGGTACTACTATTACACTATATATTCTTTTGATTTAGTGGGAATTTTTAAACATAATAATTAATAAAAAAATGTTTTTATAGGTCGAAAAATATCGGTTATGTAATGGGATTAGGAGCTGTAGGCCTTCTCGTTGGGTGGCTTATCGAGTTCTCTACTCGTAATCGTCAGTTGTTTTCCATTTCAAGAGAGTTTCACATGAATCTTCTTGACAGGTAATTTATTTATCAATTTTCATTTTAATCGAGCTTATCAAATAATAGAATATCGAATAGGTTGATTCGATTTTCAACCCGATTTTTCCTGACAATATGCATGTTTATTAATTTTTTTTTTTAATATATGGAATTAATTTCTTGATGAACTCAGATGGGAAAGTACGAAAGGGTGGGTTCGTAATATTATCAAGACTATCGTAAAACGCTTCCGCTGGGGATTTATTTTAGCAGGTTTTATCGCATTGGCTATGGCTGCGATTAGCTGGATAATGGAGAGCACGGAAAGCTACTGGATTTGGCACAGGTATACGATTATTCAAACTTAAAAAAAAAAAAAAAAAAAAGGGAATAATTTTAATTAATCTCGCAAATACTCGATAAATCATTAAAATGTATAATTTAATAATCGATTTCTCTCTTATTTTGCAGTTTGTGGCATATATCTATATATACATCGTCTTTCCTCTTCCTCTGCTCGAAGGCGATAGTTGCAACATTTGAATCTTCGGATGGGAGCTATGAGTTGACTCGGCAAAATTCGTTCACCGGTGGTCAACAAAGACCCGAAGCATAGATGCGTTTTTTATTTACTTTTTTTTTTTCCTTTATAACTATTAATCGAGATATATAGTCAATATACGTAGAAGTAGCTTATTGTACATTTTTCTACATTTTCGGTACCATTTGTGTAAATAAATTATTTCATGCGATGGTAATTTTATAGAAAATGTGGAATTTTTTGATCAAAATTTTCAGTTGCAGATTAGATCTTCTGTTCTTGATGAAATTTAGTTCAATTTGCAAAAAAATGCAAAATACCTTGGCATAACATGGAAAAATATCGGGAAAATTACAGTATTCATCCCTTAAGTTTGCAACGGTTTCATATTTAGTCCTCCATATTCACAAAAATCACATTTGGCCCCTCATGTCTCAATAATTTAACACTTTTTGGTCATTTCCGTCAATTTTCCGTTAGTCCGTCAGTTTAGACAGAGACGGGCAAATGCTTGATTCCGTTAGTTTTAACGGAAAATTAACAAAAAGGACTAGAAGTGTTGAATTTTTGAAACATGGGGGACCACAATTGTGTTTTTTGTGAACATAGGGGGACCAAATGTGAAATCGGTGCAAACTCGAGGGACGAAAACTGTATTTTTCCTGAAAAATATTAAACCACCAAATATATAAAAATGTTGCAAATTGCAATATTTTGTATTACAAGGGACTTGTACAAAACTTCCCACAAATGAATAACAGAGTAAAGAAATCACAAACCAAACTATCACTATACAGATTCAAATCTTTTTGGAGTATAACTCATCTTTGATCTCAATATAATTAATTTCCTATAAATAATTAAATACATATAAAAAATAAAAATTTAAGACAACCTTAAATTCAGAATTTTGAAGTTAATAATTCAGTGTAATCTTTTCTGATGGTCCAAAGAATCTCAGCACATTTCCTCATAGGTGGTCTGTTATTTCTGTGTGGGGCCAAACACTGCCACGACAGTTCGAAAATCTTTTCCATAACGAAGTTGTTTGCTGGCGATCGAGTCAGCTTCGGATCCAGCGCTAAAACTGCTTCACCGCTCGAGAATTTCTTCATCGCCTGTATATTTAGTCAACAAACATCGTTAAAAGAAAAAAAAAGAAGTTACTTAAACTCAATTGATATTTAGTTCGATTAGTCTCTCGACTACTAATCAAATCAGATTAAGATATAATTCCGAACACGAACAGTCTCTCGACTACTAATCAAATCAGATTAAGATATAATTCCGAACACGAACAAGAAATCAAACCGTGCTTGAACACTACTTTGTACGTTAAATAAACACTAAGGCCTCGTTTAATCGGCAAGACTAGTCATGATTAATTACATAATTTGAGCTAATTGGATGTTTGGTTGGTCTAATAACTTTTCGGGCCGGGTTGCGGTTGTGAAACAAATTTAGATTTTCATAAGATTATTTAATCTTTATCTTAGGAACCAAACGAGGCCTAAGACTTTGCAGGGCCGACAATTCAAAATACTAGATGGGTGGGGCAATGACCCCTTCATACGAACACAAATGAATAGGGAAAAGAGGTGAAAAGACGTAAATACCCATTTAGTGGTAATTCGCTCCTTGAGCTCCCGTTTCGGCTCTATAGGCCTTCGGCCGGTTACAAGCTCCACAAGTAAAACACCGAATGAGTAAACATCACTCTTTTCGGTAAGTTGATAAGTTTTTAAGTACTCCGGGTCTAAATAGCCAGCTGTCCCTTTCACTTGCGTAGAAACATGTGTGGCGCCCGATTCACGATCGGCCGCCAACCTGGCAAACCCAAAGTCAGCTACTTTCGCTCTTAGGTTGTCTGTAAGAAGAATGTTCGAAGATTTGATGTCTCTGTGGATTATCGGATGGTCTTCATTTCCAAAAAAAAATTAAAAAATCATTCTTTCAGCGAGAGAAACTAGAAAATTCATAAAGATTATTAAAAAAAAAAAATTAACAAAAACACACACACACACACTAAACCTGTGTACATATGAAGATAAGTGACTGCATGAGCCACATCAATTGCAATGTCGAGCCTTGACGCAAAATCGAGAATATTACCATTAAAACCTGCAATGTAATGCAAGTCAGAAATCTTGAAATGACTAAAATGCCCCTAAATAAATATAAACGAAAAATAACTCACAATCCAAGTGGTCTCTAAGGGTGCCATTAGGAACATACTCAACAACGAGAATCTTTTCTTCTCCATATTCCAAAAACCCGTAAAATTTCACTAGATTTCGATGCTCCACTTGTGCCAGAGTTTTAACTTCAGTCTGAAACTCGACTCCCAAGTGTTGATCATAAAGAATCTGCCAAAAAAGAGAGAATCGAATTACCTTAAAGAGAGCTTATAATTTGCAAAGCATTTTAATTATTATGAATCACTTGTTTTTTTTTTAAACCTTCTTAGCACGTTTGACCGCAACGATGGTTCCATCTTGGAGTTGACCCTTGTAGACCGTTCCGAATCCACCTTGACCAATTTTAAAGCTAGGTGAGAAGTTTTTAGTTGCGTTGTTAATTTCTTCCATGGTGAATTTAACAGTCACTCGCTCGCTCGAGTGAGTCGAATTGTTTGAACTAGTGTAGATTCCCCGATTAGCACTTCGTCTTTTCTCACTACCAGAACTTGAAGCTTCTAAAAATAAAATAAATAAATAAAAAGAAAATCGATCGGATTATTTAAACATTAATCACACATGCCCACATTATGCCTACTAATACCTATTATTCGATTTTCAACATTTGCTTGTTTTCCATTTAGATTAACTGCAAAAATCCCAACAAATCAAATAATCTCGAGGAAATTAATTTTCGATTTTCGGATATTTCAGTGTCTTATTAACCATAGAGCAAATTAAAAATTAAAATTGATGGTACAAGAACACCCTAAATTTGATTTCTTAAATAAAAAAATAAAAAAATAAACAAATAAATAAAAATATAAAGAAAAAAAAAACCCTAGCTAAAGATCCTAAGAATCAAAGTCAAGATCAATGTAATAAAAAATGAAGAAAGTGTTAAAAAAAAAAAAAAAAAAGAATGGGTCAATTGAGTGAAGATCTTCTTACCAAAAGAATCATTACTGTATACGTTGGTCGAGGTTTTCTCCGGCGGTTCGGGAGGAGAGAAGCAAGACATCAGAGCATCAATGATGGAGCGCCCTACGCTCTTGGCGGGGTTTTTGGCGGCGGTGGCGGCGGCGGCGGTGGTAGCGGACTTGTGATGAGAAGAGGCGGGGGCGTAGGAGGAGTAAGTGGAGGAGCCCCGTGAATTAGACGTGTTTTCCGGTAGGGTGGCGTCGGAGCTCCGGCTCCGGCCACCGAAACCTGGGCTGTTCATTGTTAATTTTTTGCTGATGAGGGATGAGAGAGAGAGAGAGAGGAGAGAGAAATGGCGGGTAGGTGTGCAATAAATAAATAAATGGGTAAATTACAACCGCCTCCTAATGTAAGGTTTATTTACAAAAGAACCCCTTATTTTCCAATAACTACATCCATCTCCTTGAAATTTGTAAATGTCATACTTTAACACCCTTTTGTGGGATAATTACACTTTAGGCTCCTCATGTTTGGCCCGATTTCACTTTTGGTCCCCCTTGTTCCAAAGTGAACAAAGTTGACCTCCAAGTTTCAATTTTAAACACTCTTGGTCCCCGCCGTTACATTTCCGTTAGCAAGTAACGGAAAACACTATCTTGAGGTGAAAATTGAAATTCTAAAATCTTTTGGGGCTGAAAATAATTATAAATTTAAAATAGACTACTTATAATTTTTAATAATAATAAAAAAAAAAATCAACGAAACAAATTATTTTTTTAATATACTTAATATTATTACAATTGTACTACTTATATTATTAATTTAATAATAAAAAAAGAAATTAACCAAAAAGCTCTCATTATACTTAATATTATTAAAAGTTTAATTATAAGTAGTTTATTTTAAATATCTAATCATTTTCAGCCCTAAAAGAATTTAGAAATTTAACTTTCTCCCCAAAATAGTGTTTTCCGTTACTTGCTAACGGAAATGTAACGGCGGGGACCAAAAGTGTTCAAAATTGAAACTTGGAGGTGAACTTTGTTCACTTTGAAACAATGGGGACTAAAAGTGAAATCGGAGCAAACATGAGGGACCAAAAGTGTAATTATCCCCACTTTTGTAGGGGGTGAAATGTAGGAAAGTTACACATTTTAGGTGGTTGGATGTAATTTATCAAAGAAGAAAAGGGTTTTTTTGTAATTACACTTTATTTTAGGGAGATGATTATAATATATCCAATATCAAGTTGCAAGTTGTTAAACAAATATCAAATTGTCAACCACGGCGACTTAGACTTTTAATTTATTTTGTTAATGTAAAGACATTATTTTTGTGATATTTTGTTGTGTAATTACAACCTTACCCCCTCTTTAATAGCCTGAGATATTTGGTTTAATTAAAGAAATTAAGTATCTTTGTTATTGATGCAGTTTGATTTAAAATTGAGCAAAAATTAGTTCTTTTTTTTTTTCATTACGGTGAAATTAAGAAGAAGAAATGAGCAAAACGAACTAATTTTAAATGAAAAAATAAAGATAAAAAATGAAGCACATTTAAGTTTTCAGCCATTGCACTAGATAGTATATATTATATATAGTATATACATAGCCAACAGAGGGGTAAAAAGGTCAGAGAAAAAATGTAAATACGATTATTAATTGCCGATAAAAAGAAAGTCAACAAATAACTTAAACATACTTCTTACCCTTGTTGGCTTGTCTCATGAAGTAATAATAACTATAATTAATGGACATTTGCCTTGCAATAATCACATGCCAAAATCAATAATTATTACTAAACAATCTTTATCATTACAAATTATTACTAGTAGTACGTAGACAGGTATCATAGCATATTTTGAACCTTCAATAATAACAAAAAAATAAAAATAAAAAATAAATAAATAAATAATGGCTTAAATTTAAAAGTAGTTAACTACCACTCAAAAATGGTCTCACAAGCCATTTTTGTAAGTTTTTTTATTTCTCCAAACACCCCTCTACTTTTCTTTTCTTTACTCCAGAACCCCCCAAACTTTCCACAATTTGCCAAGATTCCCCCATCTTTTCAAAAAGTTGAAAACCAAAGCCCCACACACTTCCATGAAATCATACAAACAAACAAACAAACAAACAAACCCTTGTTTTCCCACACTCACAAACAGTAGCCTCCAATCTCTCTCTCTCTCTCTCTCTCTCTCTCTCTCTCTCATGTTGCAATGCCCATTATAAACGAAGCATAATTTTCAGGTAATTTTTTTTAATGTTTTTCTTTTGTTGTTTGCTGTGAAACTGAGTTTACTGTTTGTGGGCTCTGTCAGAAAGTTGTGTTTAAGGTTTATTTAGCTGCTATTGATCAATTCATGTGTGTTTGAATGCAACTATAAAGCTATAGTTAAATTTAAAAGCTTGTTCTTTTATTAAACAGAAAAATTAATTGATTGTTTTTGTAATACAGATCATGAAACTTGGATGATATTTGGTGCTCTGTTTGATTTAGGGGGCAAATTAGGGTTCTTGACTTTTATTTTCGGAGCTGAATTAGTTGGATTTCTTGTAAAGATTCGTTTTTTACAGTTTGTTTAGATGGAATTTTGCAACTTTTCCAACTTATGGTACATAGAAAACGGAAGGTTATCGATCGTCTTTTTACGAAATCGAGTCGACGAGAGACGTAAAATTTCACATCTAAATCCCCAGTCCACCCGATCGGAACGGTCTGAGTGAGATTTCATTTGAACTACAGGAGGCGTATTTATTGAAATCGAAACAAAACTCATGTCAAGTCGACAACCATTCTAAGTAGTTTATGGTATGGGGTACAAATTCATGATAACGAGCATCGGAACCCAACTCAAAGAAATGAAATTCTTGTGTAACAAGATTGTAGGCGGTGCAAACGCTTGATGGATATGAAAAGTGAAATGCCAACACCTCTCGAAATTTAATCCAACCAAACGGCAAGAGGGCAAAGGGCACATGGGAATACTTGTCGGAGTGAAATCGTTCAAATTCACACTTTCGAGGGGTAAAGTCAATGTTGTAAAGTTTAGTCCACTCTCCGGATTCCGACTTCATGTCCCAACCTTCCAAATACAAATCACTCGCGAGAACGAACAAAGACAGAGATTTTCCCGCTGAGAAATAAAACTTCGGTCTGCGTTCGTAACCACCTTGTGGTGATTGAGGAAGGGTATATTTCGTCATAGTTTCGGTGTCTACATTCAAAGTGAGAACATGGGTGTGAGTGTCCTATTGAGCCCAATGTATAAACCCTAGGGTTATAATCGGGTCGTTCAGGAGGAGCGTCTTTGAACTAGGAGATAAGTGTCTAGTACATATACGCCTCCAGGATGACTTGTCGTCGACACCACCAACGGTTAAAACGGCGCACTGGAAAACGTCTTTCTCGTCGTAGTAAGTGTGGACCACTTTATACTCCATGGAAGCTGGCGAATACGCTATACCGGACATATTGTGGTTTGATATTCGGGGAGGGAATGGTGGGACGACAAGCCGTTGATTTGTAATAGGGTTTGTGATTAGAAGATCGTGTTCGGGAGATACAAAATCATACTCGAGTATCAAACCGTTACAACTACACCAAACGAATCCTCTGATTTGGTGAACGAAGTTGGATACATCAAATCGGCCGTTTCTCATTGACACGAAAACCGGAGGGTGGCAGTTCAAGCGATCGGTGGTTAACTCGTGGATTACGAGTCCGGAAACTGAATGGTGGGAACGATGCGCGTGTACAAAGTCGCGAGCACGAGTTGTGCGGTACCACTTGCGGCAAACCACGGCGGCGTTGGGAATATCTTCCGCCGGGAGTTGTAGAAGAATGTGGAACAACAGTTCATCCGGAAGGGAATCCATAATTTGTGAATTTTTGTTCCTTTTGCAAACCCTAAAATAATAAGGGCGGCTACGGCGGCGGAGTGTATCTTTTGATTTCACCCCAGCCGCCGCCATCTGCATAATTAATACAGTAAAAATTAAAAAAAAAAACAGAAAACAAAAACTGAAGAAAATAGTGATGAGCAGCCAGCCATCTGTATAATAATTAAAACAGGAAAAAAAAAAAAAAAAAAAAAACAGACGGTGGTGATATATATGAATAGAAAGTACCGGTGGTGAGTTCGCTTTTTCGTTCGACACCGGGGTCGGAAAGATGTCCGAATGTGAATCGGAATCCATCAGCGGCCTGTTGACTGACGGTCCGGCGGCGGCGGCCTGTTGACTGACGGTGGTATATTGTGTTGGATATTGGGCCCAATGGATTTTATATACAGCCCATTAACCCATCTCTGAGGCCCAATAGCATTTTTTTAGATAGAGAGAGAAAGTGGAGAGAGAGATGGACTAATTATTAATTAATATTTGTTTTATTTCACTTTAATTATATAACTCTAATTCATGTTCATCCCATTAATGTGATAAACTTGCAATAAATCATATGGATGCCAAAATCAATAATTAATAATTATTACTAAATATAATCTTTTACCATTGCAAATTATTAACTAATTGGTACGTTGGTAGGTATCAAACTAAAAAATTACCACTTTGATGCTTCAAAATTAAAAAATCCTCCTCCAATGGAGAAATTAAAGTGAGAACTATTTTGATATTCAACCACCCCTAGGTGCAAAAATACTCCCTGGAAAAAGAAGTATAAAAAATGTAACCACTCCATTGACCTATCACTATTTGACACGTGGCATTTAATAATATAATTATTCATATATTTAAAATTTGATAATATATTTGATACTTGTGGTTGCAGTGAATTTTTTCCTTAAAGTATCAAAGTATTATATTAAGTATCAAATGAATATTTAATGCTCCATTTTGATGTATTTCCATTGGAGTTGCTCCGACATGAGTGGGGATTTTGGGCACTATTACATAGAATTTGAACCTTGAATGGTAAAATAAAAAAAATAAAAAAATAAAAAAATAAAATAAATAAAATAATTAGATAATGGTTAAAAGTAGTTAACCACCACTCAAAAATGGTTTACGTGCATATATCTACACCCAACACCAAAGCCTTCTCACAACCTCCCATTTTTGTAAGTTTTTTATTTCTCCAAACATCCCTCTACTTTTCTTTTCTTTACTCCAGACCACCCCAAAGTTTCCACTATTTGCAAAGATTCACCCATCTTTTAAAAAAGGTGAAAACCAAAGGCCCACACACTTCCATGAAATCATACAAACAAACAAACAAACCCTTGTTTCCCACACTCACAGACAGCAGCCTCCAACCTCTCTCTCTCTCTCTCTCTCTCTCTCTCTCATATTGATATTGCAATGCCCATAAACGAAGCATAATTTTCAGGTAATTTTTTTAATGTTTTTCTTTTGTTGTTTGCTGTGAAACTGAGTTTACTGTTTGTGGGCTCTGTCAGAAGGTTGTGTTTAAGGTTTATTTAGTTGCTGTTGATCAACTAATGTTGTGTTTATATGCAAAGTATAAAGCTATAGTTAAATTTAAAAGCTTGTTCCTTTATTAAACAGAAAAATTAAGTAATTGATTGCTTTTGTAATACAGAGCATGAAACTTGGATGATATTTGGTGCTCTGTTTGATTTTGGGGGCAAATTAGGGTTCTTAACTTTTATTGTCGGAGCTGAAGTAGTTGTATTTCTTGTAAAGATTCGATTTTTACAGTGTGTTTTGATGGAATGTTGCAACTTTTCTAACTTATGGTGCATAGAAAATGGAGGGTTATCGTCTTTTTTTACGAAATCGAGCATACTCGTCGTTTTGCATTTAGTGAATTATTGAAATTCCGTATTTAGATTAGCTTGCTATGTGTGTAATAGGCTAATTTCGAACTAGTTGAAAATTGAAATCATTCTCTTAACTTGCATAAGAAGTTGTCACGAATACGTTTTGTCTCGAAGAAGATGCTTGCCCTACTTGTCTCGAAGAGTACGACGAGGAGAATCCGAAAATCACGACGAAATGTAACCATCACTTTCACCTTTCGTGCATACTTGAATGGATGGAACGAAGCGACACCTGTCCCATCTGCAATCAGGTTTTGCTTCATTAGCCACAAAATTACGGTTTTTCTTTTTGAATCGACTCGTTTTTCGTATGTAATATCGTAACAAGAAACGCTTTTTTTCGATGCTCTTAATTAACAGGAAATGATATACGAAGCCCTCCGATTTGGCTGTGAATGAATTTGATTCTTGCTCGTTTAATTTTGGAGGCCATTATATTGCTGAAAGTATTCTCTCGTTCGGGATTAGAATGAACCCTTTCGCAAGTTATCGACGAACAACAAGCTGATGAGTGATTATGTGCAATGCTGCATTGCCTGTGTTAGTAAATATTCAAGTAATGTAACATGTATAGATTATATGTACAGTCTACAGATTACTGCATACACTGTAGACATTTAAAATTTAATGATGAATTATACAAGTTATCATTGATGTGATTTTTTACATTATATTTTATGGTAAATTTCGGCCAACCCCCTAAGGTAAGGTCAAATTACAAAAAAAACCCCTCATATTTGGGTAATTACAACCAAACCCATTAACTATGAATTTTCTTACACGTCCACCCTTGTGGTGTCAAATTTAGTCGAATCTTCTAAATTATGTGGAATATTCTTCTGTTTGTACCCATTTTATACCACTCGAGCTCCACAGTTTGAAACAAGACGATCATAAAACGTGTCTTTCAGCTTGTAAATATCAGATTGTGATGCATCAGAAACTGGATTTTTTAACAAAACGAGCACAAACTACAAAACATTTCATGAAATATAGAAGGTTATGTTGAATTTGACATCATTAGAGTGGATGTACAAGAAGATTCATAATTGATGTAGTTGTAATTACCCAAACAAGAGGGAATTTTTCGTAATTTAACCCTCTTAAAATAAATAAAACATTCTTCCATCTTTTTTAATAGTTGTAATATAATATTAATATAAATATTGATATTTTAATTTTGAATAGTTAATTAATTTCCCATCAAGAACAGAAGTCAAAAACGTTGATGGGTTCCAAGATCACCTGTCTGCCACAATATCCCCCATCCAGAACCTATTTTTACCAAAATACCCTCAAGAAACCCCACAACAAACCGAAACTTACCTGCAAGCAAATCACAATATCCAGGGCTATTTTCGTAACTTCACAACTCAATCTCTGTTCTTATTCTTGTCCATCAGTGACTGCTTTCTTTCAGATAATCAGATTTCCAAGAAAATAAAAAACTAAAAAAGTAAACAATAAAATTAAAAAAAAATAAAAAATCCCCACTGTTCTTCAACACCCAAAATTTCAGCTCACCTAAAAATGCTGTTTCGTTTCAGAGCGGAGGCAAAATGTCTATGCACTTAAACCCCATTTTCATTCTAATTTGCTTCTCCTCTCTCTACTTTCTCACTCTAGAATCGTCACTGATAAAACCCATAACCCCACACGCTGCAAATTCGACAATTTTTTCAAAGATTGTTCGGAATTCGACAGAACCCGGAACGAAGATACTTCAGGGTAGCATAAAGTTGGAATCTTTGCGGAGATCCCATGTAATAATCCGAGGAAACGCCACAATTTCAAGCGAGAACAACACTTTTAGGCTGGGGTTCTTCGCCCCAAACGACGAATCGGGTTGGTACTTGGGCATCTGTTATGCTTCCATACCCGTACCCGTTTACGTCTGGGTCGGAAACCGCGAGAAACCCATCGCGAATCTGACGTCAGCCGCCGCAGAAATCACCGAGGATGGGAAATTAGCTGTGGTGGACCAAGATTCAAGAACCATCTTCTGGGAAACAAGCAATGCCGAAGAGGGAGCCGATTTGGAGCTGTTGGAACAAGGGGATTTGATTCTGTCGAGCAGCGACGGCGCAATCGTGTGGCGGAGCTTCGATTTCCCGACGGACACGTGGCTTCCCGGCATGAACTTGACGGCGGGGAAAATGCTGACGTCGTGGAAGAGCACCGTCGACCCGTCTCCGGGTAGGTATTCCCTGCGGTTGGACCCACCCGATTACGGTGAGATTGCGCTGTTTTACAGCGAAGAAGATAGTACGTCGCCGAATTCGTCGAATTATTGGACTACGGGTAATTGGAATGGGAATGCATTTGCAGGGGTGCCTCAGATGACAATCCCTTACATTTACAGATTCGAATTCGTCGACCCTTTCACGCCAATGGCAACTTTCGGTTACACCGAAGTGCCGCTCGAACGAGGGCTCAAGCCTCCGTTTACGAGGTTTGTGATCAACCACATGGGCCAGCTCAAGCAATTCACTTGGTCACAACAGAGTGAAGTGTGGAACATGTTTTGGTCGCAGCCCGAATACGTGTGTAGAGTGTACAATCTCTGTGGCGATTTAGGTGTTTGTAACGGTAATAAATTGTCGAGCCCTTGTCAATGTTTGAATGGGTTTAGGCCTAACAACTCCGTTTCTTGGGAGAAGCAAGATTTTTCGGAGGGTTGTTTGCGCGAAGGCGACAAAATTTGCGGTGGGGGTGACACGTTTGAGGAAGTTGGTGCGGTGAGTTTCGATAAGACGACGGTTGTGTCGTTTAGTGGAAGTAGAAGGGAGTGCGAGAGTTCGTGTTTAAAAAATTGTTCTTGCATTGGTTTGTTTCATAACCCAAACACGAACGTGTGCAAGAACTTGTACGGTGCGCTTTTGAACCTGCGTAATCTTACTTCGGATACCACTATCCAGGACAAATTGTATGTTCGAGTGCAAACGAGTAGCAGAAAGAAGACCAAGAAGACGAAATTGTTGATCGGAATGATTTGTGGTGGCATTTTCGTGATCGTGATTGTAGGAGCTACGAACTTGTATTTGCTTTTGAGGAGGAGGAGAAATAGGAGAAAAAACGGAGGAGAGGAAGATATTGTGTTTCAAGTAACGAATCTTCGAGTGTTCTCTTATAAAGAGCTCCATTCTGCAACTAAGGGGTTCTCTGTAAAACTCGGCCATGGCGGATTCGGGGCGGTTTTCCAAGGTGTGTTGTCCGATTCTTGTTCGGTGGCAGTTAAGAGGCTCGAGAGGCCAGGTGGGGGTGAAAAGGAGTTTCGAGCGGAGGTGTGTACAATCGGAAATATTCAGCATGTGAATCTTGTGAGATTAAGAGGGTTTTGCTCGGAAAATTCTCACCGTCTTTTGGTCTACGATTACATGGCGAACGGATCTTTAAGTTCGTATTTAAGACAAGGGTGCGAGAATGTTCTTAGTTGGGATGTGAGATTCCAAATTGCCCTCGGTACAGCTAGAGGGATTGCGTCTCTCCACGAAGAGTGTCGGAATTGTATTATACATTGCGATGTCAAGCCGGAGAATATTTTATTGGACG